CAAACAAATAAAATCTTTAAAAAAAAAAATTTACTGGACTATTTTAATTAGTATATAAATGATAACCATTTTTCCACTGTCTCAGAAAACAATTACAGTTTGTGGCAGTTACATTATTTCTATCTCTTGCAACAAAGTTTCTGACAAAGAAGTGTGCCGCTGGAATGCAGCCTCTTTGTTAACAGAAGTATGATGCAAAAAAATCCTAACAAATCAATTTGTAGATGTTTCTTATAAAGGGTCTAATATCAGGGATCAACTTTAGGTGGATCTTCCCGAAAACCTATGGCATAGGATGAAACCGAAGCAAAAAGATATGGGGGGAGTACAGAGTACCAAGAGCAGCAGACGTCATTGAGTGGCACACCACCTTTTATAACAGGATTTGACCTATCTGACTGGTATTCCCTCTGGCTAGGATTATTCTATTTTCTCAACTTTCCAAACAACTTTGATGATGTCTTCCCTGTATGGTACTTCAATACTTTCCCCACGCCTGCTTTCCCAACTTTGATATGTTAATTCCCCTATTTCTATTCCCTAACATATCATTGATTTAAAGCAGGATATACATCCCCTACTATTTCATCCATGGATTATCCTTATCCTTCTTCCACCCTTATTAAGTGAACAATATTCAATACACCCTTTTCTTCTACTCGAGGTGTCAAAGTCTTCAAAATCTTTCCATTCTGTCATAAATCGAAAGAGAAAACACTGAATTTTTCAATTTGAGTAATAGATTTCCAACGATATTCAGTCTAGCACCCTCATATTTAAGACCATTTCTTATTTTTTTTAAATATTTTATTTATTTATTTGACAGAGGGAGAAAGATCACAAGTAGGCAGAAAGGCAGGCAGAGAGAGAGGGGGAAGCAGGATCCCTGCTGAGCAGAGCGCCTGATGTGGGACTCGATCCCAGGACCCTGAGATCATGACCTGAGCTGAAGGCAGAGGCTTTAACCCACTGAGCCACCCAGGCGCCCCTCTTATTTTTATAAAATGTAGGAAGTATTCTCAATTTATGCATTTGGATAAGAGTCTTGTCAATCTGCTATTTCAAAAAAATGACACTTCTCAAAAAAGAAAAAAATTAAAAAGACACTTCTCTTCCAACAACAAAAAAAAATGTTCAACATCCTATCCTGCCTAGAACATCACCTTCTTTCCCACGCAGAAGACAGGTTTTCTTTCCTTCCATCTCTGTTCTATTCCTACAACTCAAGACTAATTCAGTCCACTTAATTTTGAATTCCCTCCTTGTCTTCCTCTTAGTGATGCTTTGTACTTCATAACCTCTATCTCACTCTTCTGAAACTGCCATCTTACTCCCTGGTTTGCCACCACCCCACCAATTCAATTCCAAACACCCTAGTCCATTTCCTCCAGCAAATTAATTCAGCTGATACAAAGCTAATTTTCATCTACATAAGGAAAGATCTGTAGCTATGCAGTTTAAAAATTGCCCAGTCATGGTCTTATACCACTGAGAAAGGTAGGCAACAAAACTCTCCTGAAAGTCAAGGTCACAAAGAATAATTGCTCTACCCCAACCACACTTGTTCAGCAATACCGAGCATCCTTCCAGAGTTGTCTAAAAACCAAAGGTTCAGTTTCCAACAAAGAAAAGAAAGTGAACATGATGCTTCCCTGAAGACATTCTCTAGCCTCCTCTCCACTGACTTTAAATAGAATGATTACCTGAAGAGGAAAAGGGAAATTTGGGCTGTCCAAGTCCTTATTACTCCTTCCCCTCTAAGTCCCATACTACTATTCGCCCAAAGACTTGCTTTATTTACTTTAGAACAGACATGCAAGACTGAGGAAAGACTGGCTCCCAGGCATCCTTAAGAGACTCCAGGTCCTATGCCTGTTCAATTCTGCTTACTCAACTTTAGCTAGAAAATATAAGTTACTTAAACATGGTGTTCATTCTTATTCTTTTCTCCCTTCTTCAAAGAACTCAAATCATCTCAAGTGGTCTACCAGTGATTCCACAATCTAAGGATACATCTTCCCTAACATGCTAATTTCACAAAATATAAAACAGATTAACACAGAAGCCTCTCAAAACCAGCCGATCTTCTCATTAAAATTATCACCACTCTCCCAGTTTGCTTTCATATCTTTCTATTCCACCACCTTATTTCTGGTCCTAACTGCCCATTATTACGTTATACAGATTCATCGATAATACCTATCTATGAACATGTGAATGCTCTTCTAAACAAAGCGTCTCAGATTCTCTACTGTTCATGCATTTTAACTATAAACTACTGATCATGATTCAAAACCCTCTCAAATACGGGCACCTTACCTAATAGGCTTTCCTTGATCACCCTGTCTTTACAAAACAAGATATCCATATCTTGCTTTTTCCTCCTAATTCTTGTCACCACCTAACAAACTTACCTGTTCATTTGTTTATTGACTGCATAATTCTACCAAGAATGTCTTCCTATGTTTTCTCTTTTGTTCACCACTGTCTCCTCAGCATCTACAAGAGTGACTGGTATATATGTAACTCCCAGTACATACTTGTGGAAAGAATGGATGAACCCAGACATGTCACACAGTATGGCTGATACGGAGTTAGAAGACCTACAGCGCTTCCACATACCAGCTATATGGTCCTCAACAACTTTTACTTTTTTGTGCTATACTTTCCTCATCTGTTAAAAAAAAAAAGGGGGGGTCGAACTTCATCTATAAAAAAAATCCATATAAGTTTTTCCAGGTGCATCACCCTATATTCCTGTTTAACTAGACTAAAAACCTTCCCTGGTCCCCAACCTTCCTATCTTAATATCTCTGCTCAGTTTCCTTCCATTGGATTCCCCATTCTCAATCCACACGTGCCAAAATGTTGCTTATCCTTAAGGTCCATTTTGAGTGGCATTTTCTCCTTGAACCCTAACAAACTGTAAACTCAGTAAGAAGAGGGTAGAGTTCTTTTCTATTCTCACCACTGGGACGATGCCTCCCAAATACATGATCGACAAAATGACGAATGATGAGTGTATGAATGAGCAAATGAACAAAGGAAGCTTTTCCATATTTCCCCCAATTGCTCAGGTAACCTTCTGCCTTTGGACTCTTATAATACTTGGCATCTTTTTGATACTTGTCATAGTTTACTCTGTGCTATTATTAATTTACTTGCCTAATAAACTAAACAGCAAATTCCTTAAAATTAAGTACTATCCTAATGGTTCCCATAATCTCCCTTCTACATCATCTACTATAGAGCTTTCCCACAGTTGTATTTATTAAGTTCATCTGACATGTTAAATAATAAAAGGATAATAGTGGAGAAAAAGGACTGTGATAGAAAGATAACATTCCAACTACCCTACAGTCATGGAGCACATATGTTGTGTGAATCCTGTCACTATTAAACTCAGGCATTCAACCATAATTCAAAGATCTCATCACTCTCTCCTTTCCACACTCTGCTTAATGAAACTTTACTACTTTCGTAAGCAGAATAACCACTCTCCTATATCACTTACTACCTACCTTCTCTTGTAATATGCATATAGAAAGCCAATCACCAATGCTTTCACTTCACTAAACAGATAAAGTGACTTTTCTGCTCATTTCAGACTTCTACCCATGCAATTCCCTCCTCTACAGGGTATGAAATCATTTTTTTTTTTTTTTAAGATCTTCCCATAAGCCTGCCTTAGTTCTGCTCCTGAAAAACAAAAAGGATCCGCTTTAAGGCCTTCCTTCCCCTTTTCTAAGAAGTAGTAACTCTCCAATTAATCTCAGGCTCCAACAACCTTATATTTCTCTGCCATCAAGATTTTGACCCTCTTTTTCTACCTCCAAGCTCTTATTCTGCTTCCATGGAACCTTCCTAGCTACACAATCGCTGGTGTCTTTCCATTCAATATGCTCATCATCGTATACCTGGTTCCAATGTATCTATGTTTCCCTTCCTAAAATGTTTATCAGTCGCTTCCTTTACACCAACCCAGACACACATCACATACTCGCACACGCTGTACCCATGCGTCACTCTACCTCCGACATACAAGTTCCTTACACCACTCTTTTTTTTTTTTTTTTAAAGATTTTTATTTATTTACTTGACAGAGAGATCACAAGCAGGCAGAGAGGCAGGCAGAGAGAGAGGAGGAAGCAGGCTCCCCACTGAGCAGAGAGCCCGATGCGGGGCTCGATCCCAGGACTCTGAGATCATGACCTGAGCCGAAGGCAGCGGCTTAACCCACTGAGCCACCCAGGCGCCCCCCTTACACCACTCTTAATGAATGCACACGACTCTCAGAATGGTATCTTCCGACTACACTAATTCTAACTCAGTTTCTTCTGGGGAACCCAACACCGTCCATAGTACCTCCCTCTTTCCTCACTTCCTCATCCATTCTCCCTCTTAATCTCCCACCCCCACCCCGCCAACTTACAGAGGACATTATTCCTCAGCACTTTCAATCCGAGAATAGAGAACAAACTCGGGTTTCCAGCGGTCTCCCTCTCCTCTAGACCTCCCTCCTCGACACCCCCCCCACCAGGTGTGCAGACTTCCACCTCGTCCTCTCCCCATGCATCGCCCCAACCAATCCCACACCCTACACCGCACAATGTTACCCCCACCACCGGGATCAGACTCCACGCCCACCTCCACTCGGGGTCGCCGCCACCCCCCCCCCCCACCACAAGTCCCCCGCCAGCGAGCCTGCGACCCTGGGGGCGCGCGCGCACACACATTCTCACGCTTCTCTAACCTCCTTCCCGGCACCAGGACTAGCTGGCTACGCTGGAACTCAGCCCGGCAGGAGGGGGCTAGGCACCCGAGTGTGTGCCCGCCCCGCCCCCTCCCGCGGATCCCCTCGCAGCCCCCGCCTCCCCGCGGGGGAAGGAGAGGACACAGCAACTCCCCCGCCACCCCGACACACCACCTCTGTGGCTGTTGCTCCGCGCCCCAACCCTCGACCAGCTCCCCCCACGTACGGGGCCGACCTCTGCACTCACCGGAGATACTGCGCGCTCTGCAGGCTCATCCTCCGCCGCCGCGTCTTCCCGCGAAGCCTCTGTGGGTCTCTCAGGCTCCTCGAAGCGGCCCCGCGGCACCGCGGGTGCTGGCGGCCGCCGCCATCTTCCTCTCCTCCGGCTCCTCCTCGCTCGGCGGGGGGGTGGGGGTGAGTGAGGCGAGGGGGAGGGAGCGGGGAAAGCTGCTCTCGCTGCTGCTCTGGCCCGTGGGGCGCAGGGACACTCCGACCGGGAGGGGGGAGGGGGAGGGAGAAGGGAAGGGGGCGGGGGGGAAAGAGGAGGGAGAAGCAGAGGAAGGAAGTGGGGGGTCCCTCTCGCGAGATTTCAGTGGCGCCCGTCCCTCCGGGTGACTTCTGCCTCTCTGTAGCTCTCCCTTTTGGGATCGGCTAGCTGTGAGGCCCCTGTGCCGCTGCTGAGCGGCCTGCTGGAGGCGTTCGGCGGCTTCCGGCCAATCCACCCCTCTCCCGCGCGAGGGGGCAACCCCAGCCTCACCGGGAACATCGAGCCCAAATCAACCAGGAGTTACACTCAAAGTCTTCCCCCGTCTTTCCACTCCACCCGATTTCTCGCTTCCTTTTTCCACTCCTCCACTTTTCCCTACCGGAAACGCTGCCCCTTCCTCCTACAGTTCCGCCCGCCAGTCCCTCAACTCTAGTCTTCCCTCGCGGCCCAAAGAGTGACGCTAAGGACCCCCTCCCCTTTTCTGGGGGCCCCACCTCCTGCACGCCTGGAGACTGTTGAAGGGGATGGGGTGGAGCCCGGGGAGGCAGAGAAAGGAAACCAATCGCATTGGATAAGCAGCTGCCATGGCAACTGGAGGCTGTGGTTGTATTGTCATAGTAACCACTGTGTGCGGACCGGGTGACCCTCCCTGGGCGAACGGATTCCCGGGAAAGTGCCCAGGGTTCCCCCTTGGCTTCCCTTCCGTCTGAAAGCCTCCCCCAGGTTGGGAATCCGGGTGATCTCCTGGGCGGTGAAGTTCATTTCCTCTTCCCTTTCCCCTTCCCGCAACAATGGGGGGACCCCGAGGCATTCACCGTGGGCTTTTCCACCCGCCTGCGGGCGGGAACCATCTCGTTTCCTCTCAGTGCGGGGCGTGAAGAGGGGCGGGCCTTCGAGGAAGCCGCCGGACCTGAAGGCCAGCGAGCTGCGGACCGAGCGTGGAGGGCGAGGCGGTGGGGCGAGGCCGCGGCGCAAAGCTGCGAGGCGGGCGAGGGGTTTCCCCAGGACTGCCTCGGGCTCGAAGAGGCGGGATCCCGCCAGGACGGGGTCCCTGAGGGAGGAGAACGGCACACGACGACCCAGATTCCTCTCCTGCCGGGAGAGACCTCGGACTTTCGCGAGCGGGTCGACCCCTTACCGAAATCCCCCGAACCGCCGCCCACTCGCCCTCGGCCATCCAGCCACCTCCTTGCTGCGGGGAGGCCGCCGTTGTGAGTGTGGGAACACGTCCTAGCACACTTGACAAGGTTTTCTAGCATTTAGAGCCAGGGACGTGGTGAAACGCCCACGACTGCCGTCCCTCTCAGAGGCACCCCGCAGTGGGGGTCCCACTGGGTTACCCGAGGCAGACCTCCCGGTTCCTCCCTCTGCAGACTTCTCTGATGGGTCCGCAGCGTTTCAGAACTTGTCACTCTGTATCTTCTGGGTCTGAGAGAAAAACGTTGGGTAAAATAGTATTAACGAGAACCTAGAGGCTGACGGGAACTTCCGATGAAAGACATTGAGGAAAAGGATTTTCATTCTTCGAACAAATCTTTTTGAAAGCATTAGGTGTACTTTGTGTCAGGTTTGGGGCTAAAAAGCAGAAATAAAGAATGGGGTCAATAATACTATGGAGTGTGAGAAGTAGTGGTCATTCACATGGTTTAAAGGACTTACTTGACAGTTTACAAATCCTATTTCCGATTTGTATTGTGGGGCCCTTTACATAACAGTACCCAAGCACTTCAGGGTGTATAACCCCCACCCGACCCCCAGAACGCAGCCCTCACTAGATAGTTAAAATCAGCATTTTAATGGGCTGTTCTGGTTTGGCTGGGTTTGGGTAACTGCTTCCTGCTGTCTTCCATGCTAGAAAGAGGCACTTTCCAGATCCTTCCGTGAGACCACACCTATTACAAGACTAGACCAATGTCTGTTTGGAACCTCACGTATATAAGTTTGGAGGAAAACGAAAGGACACAGACCATCTGAAATAAATCCCAAGAAGATTATCATTAATGACACAGAACCTGAACTATGCCCTGCCCCTCCTGCTGCTATAGCCTACTGTGATGTGGTGTGAAGCGTGGTGATTGCAGCTGTACAATATCCCCTGTCATCCCTCCCTGCACCGACGCACCACCCACTCACGGAAAAGAGAGCCACCTAGCGAAAGATTGTTCTCATCTCTGGTGTGGATACTTCTTTTCTTTCAACTCTAGAGCCCAAGGATGGAGATTACTGCCACATAGTACCTAAAATACCCTGAATCTCTTTCCTGAAATGTATTAGATCTTTAAAAAAGATTTTAGCCAGAATAAAAATTTTATGTTAGGTTAAAAAAAATTACTCCCTTATTAATCATCAGAATAATACCTTTTATGTCTGTGGCTTACAACTCCAGTAAACAGCATTGGAGCAAATGTCATGACACTCCTGGCAAGGGATCTAGGAGAATTTACTATCTTCTCATTTCGGAAATGAGGAAACTGGGATCAGAAAGATGAATCCTTTTGTTGTTTCTTTCTATAAACATTTACTAAACATTGTATTTCAGGCACTGTCCAGGTTACTATGGATACCATGGTGAAGAAGACATGGTCCCTGTCTTGAAGAAACCCACTTTCCAGTAGAGATAGCAGAGAGCAGAGAAGTGATAAGAATGCTGTATGGTGGGTGCAGTAATTAAGGTAAGAACAAAGTACTTTAGGTACACAAAAATACAAATAATTTTTATATTTTATAGCAGTCTTCCCTAAGAATTGTATAGAATTTGTCAATAGTTTCAGTGTCCCTACAAACGAGATAGAATAGTAACATCAATGCCAATCCTGAAAATAACTTTTGGAAAATCAATAAAACTCAGAATACCCAGAATTTATATATTGCTTAATGTACATTTACCATTCTCACCTCTTTCTACTGCCTCCCCATCAAAAGACTTGTAGAATACAAGCATCCTTATGCAATAGCTTTTATTCACTTTTTCCCCCTGCAGATATAAATTACATCTAAATGAAAAAAAAATTTAAAGAGAAACTCTTACTTTGTCTAATCCTACCTGATTTTAAGGGTTTTTTTGTTTGTGGCTAAGTGATTTTGTGGAAAGATTATAAGCCAGCAGACCTGAGTGTGCATTCCAGCTCTGCCCTCCCAGTCTGTAATCTTCAGTTTCTTCCTTGACCAGTATGGAAACATTACCTTTTACAAGCTTCCTGTGAACTTTAATGACGCTGTATGTGACTAAGTATAACTGACATATAACACTGGTACTTGATAAGTGTTAATTTTCCTTTTGCCCTCTTACTCTTTAAATCAAGCTAAAAGGAATAGAACTACTGCAGCTTAAAATTGTTGTTTTAAAATGGTAGCTTATCTATTCTTTGTAATACTCATAGGTCTGACCACACACCCAAATCTATTCTTATTCAGCGCTAGAAAATAGATTTCCTTATCCATGACTTTGACCACAGAAAAGAATACAATACCAGGGGGCACCTGGGTGGCTCAGTCAGTTAAGCATCTGCCTTCGGTTCAGGTCATTGTCCTGGGGTCCTAGAATCAAACCCCATATAGGGAGCCTGCTTCTCCCTCTCCCTCTGCCACTACCCCTGCTTGTGCACTCACATGCACTCTCTCTCTCTTTCTCAAATAAAATCTTTAACAAAACAACAACAAAAAGAATACAATATCAGGACATTGTAGGTCAGATTCTGGAGGGTCGCAACTTTTAAATAACTTCTTATCACTAAAAATAGCCTAATATGGGGCACCTAGATGGCTTAGTTGGTTAGGTGTCTGCCTTTGGCTCAGGTCGTGATCCCAGAGTCCTAGGATTGAGCCCATCATTGGGCTCTCTGCTCCCCAGGCAGCCTGCTTCTCCCTCTCCCACTCCCCCTGCTTGTGCTCCGTCTCTCTCTCATTCTGTCAAATAAATAAAATCTTAAAAAAAAAAAAAAGCCTTATATAACTGCATTTTGGCCCAAGTAAACAAAGTATCCAGCTTTCAACCACACAACAAGTACTTGCTGAGAAGCTGCTCTTAACATTCCTACCAAATTTACCCAGAGCTTTGGTAACCTGATAATTAATACATAGGAAGCCTCCTCCCTTTTTTATAATAACAGACATCTCACCTGACCCATGAAACCATAACAAGCACTAATTAATTTTAATATTTAGCCTACATATTCTGAATGTTTCCAAATCAGGCACACAATTAGATACTTAATACATGTGTTTCTATTTTGATGAGTAGAGTGATTTATCAACTGCAGTATTCAAGTATACAATGTATGTGAAGCCAGTTGGTGCTGTCTTCAGTACCACACCTCAGGTCATGGAGCCGAATGATTTAACAAAAAGAATGATTCATTCTCTTCAAATAGTGAGTCAGATACAAATTGACATTTAAATTCAGGTCTCCTATTGCTCAAGATTTCTTAGGCCAAGGGTCAGCAGCCTTTCTCAGTTTGCCAAGTATATATTCATTCACTCCTGAGCAGGAGTCGTTGAGCCTGAAGAACAGTCAGGAAGTCTTATAGGCCAAGATCCTAGAGAAGAAACTTGTGGTTTGGAAGGCAGTGAGGCAGAGAATGGTGGTCAGAGCTCATTCTCCTTCTCCATTCTCCTAATATTTACTAAGGGAAACTTTTTTTTTTATTTGACAGAGAGAGATCACAAGTAGGCAGAGGCGGGGGGGGGGGGGGCGCGGGGAAGCAGGCTCCCCGCTGAGCGGAGAGCCTGATGCAGGGCTCGATCCCAGGACCCTGAGATCATGACCTGAGCCAAAGGCAGAGGGTTAACCCTCTGAGCCACCCAGGCACCCTAAGGGAAACCTTATTAATCTTCAAGAATTTCTCCCAAATCCCAATTAGAAAATACCTTTGGGAAAGAACCACACCTTAAAATCTTATCTGCTAATTTAATGGACACAGACCATCTGGAGAAAACAAGAAATGCTCATAGGGAAAATTGAAGAGTATTTAAAAAAAAAAAGGAAAATTAAAACCTTAGCCTCTTAACAGTGTATATTGTCCAAGGGCTTTAGTGTTCATGGATATCTTTACTACTCAAAGGAGAATACTTCTGACGCCATCTTGGTGTCCCTGGTATGAAATCAATATGTTTCATATCAAAATCTGTTGTATTACCCAGAAGCTGCCATTTTTTTTCTTAGAACACCCAACTAAAAGAAAAAAAATATTTTAATATTTTATAGTCTGCACTTTCCTAATTTATATAGGGTAGACTATTTTTGAGAACAGAGAACGTGAAACAATATTGTCATTTGCTCTTCTTCAAAACCCTGGGAAACCACATGTGCACACACACACACTCACTCACACACATGCACACCTTCTTCCTGTTCCTGTCTTTAGTATTTTACCACCTCTATTTGCAATTCAAATTAAGATATGATATTGATGTAAAGCAAGGGAACTCAGGATGTAAGTTCATCACTTCAAGATATAAGGATAGGGGCACCTTTGGCTCAGGTCATGATCCCAGGCTCCTGGGATTGAGCCCTGCAGCAGGCTCCCTGCTGAGCAGAGAGCCTGATGCAGGGCCCCACCCCGCCTGCCTCTCTGCCTACTTGTGGTCTCTGTCTGTCAAATAAATAAATAAAAAATCTTAAAAAAAAAAAAAAAAAAGAGGGGCGCCTGGGTGGCTCAGTGGGTTAATTAAAGCCTCTGCCTTCGGCTTGGGTCATAATCCCAGGGTCCTGGGATCAAGCCCCGCATCGGGCTCTCTGCTCAGCAGGGGAGCCTCCTTCCTCCTCTCTGTCTGCTTGCCTCTCTGCCCTCTTGTGATCTCTGTCAAATAAATAAATAAAATCTTTAAAAAAAAAAAAAGATATACTAAGGATATATACCCACCCAACGGCTGTTCTGCTTTGCTTAACTATTCTAGGGTCTTTTCCATTCTTAGAAAAATTCTACGTATCAGAAATTTAGTAAGTTTGTCCTGTAGTAATAAAAAAAAAATTCTTAATATCATTGGATTACTAGATATAAGAGCACATTCCAGAACAAATTAAACAGTAAGTTAATATATTTTTATATTCTACATTTTAGTCATATTAAGCTTTTTAAGAACTTTTATTTCCTGGCTTAAATTCTCCATTGGTTTTTCATTACCCTTAGAATAAAGTTTCCATATATGATCTGGTCCTTGCCTGCCTCTTCTCTAACGTTTCCTGGCAACACCACTCTTGCCACACTTACCTCCTCTTAGGTTCTTCAGTAGGTAGCCTTCCTTTCTACACAGACTTGACACAAGCTGTTCCCTTATTTCTCCTGGATCACTCTTCTCCCTTCTCATGCTTCAAGCCTAAATTTCATCTTCTTTGGAGAAATCATTTCTACCCACTCCCAAACCCAATCGGGCTAGATTAGCTATATCTATTACATATTCCCCGGTACCCTTCCCTTCTTCATGACATCTGTCATATTTCTAATTCTTTTTGTTCAATGTTACCTCCAATTGGCTGTAAACTCTGTAAGGGCAGACACAGGGACGGCTTTGCTCACTCCCCTATTAGGGTGCCTGATACAGGGGGAGCTCAATAAATGTTTGTTGAATCAGTTAATCTTGGGTAAAAAGTAGAAACAAAAAAATAGAAAAATAGAAATTTGGACCATGACTTACGTTCCTGACTACAGAACATAAAAGTAATCCCTAAGCAATAAGAAAAGAACTTCAACCCATCTGTGGAATTGAAATCCGCTATGATATTTAACAAGATGAAGGTTTTAATTAAATGAAATTTACTTGGGCAATGAGTAAAGAGCACACTTATATGATTATGGAAAACTCATCAATTATCTCAGCCGCTCATACTTCAACATAGGAGAAAAGTCTTCAATATCCAAATCATTTTTATTTAACTTTTATGTTTTCTGATTTGAGAATGGGGAAAACAGCCAACCCCTTCATTGTGAGACAAAATAAAAAAAACACTGCTGGATGGCAGGAAAGAGAAGAAGCTATTAACCAATTGGTAAATAGGATAGAAAAATTAGATCTAAAAATTCGGAAAGAAAATGGAATTGGAGTATAGAATGGAAAACTCAGTGATCTTTGTGTCTCTCACCAGAAAAGTATCTATAGATTTTGGGCATTACTGTTTTGTTTTGGTTTGGTTTTCCTCCTGTGATGGGATAGGGCTAAATAAATCGAATGTAAGTTTATTATGGAAAGGGCCACACACAGTTTCACAGTAAATGGTACATTTAAATTGTTTCTGGAGGCAGATTCTCCAAGTTCAGTTAGATAGTGTATGTATCCTACCTAGCAGTCCCGGGCACTTTGTAGGCACTCAGCAGGTGGTGCTGCTGTTACTCACTCACTCGACTTCATACTCTAATTAATGTGGGTTAGACTCGTTTAAAAAAAAAAAAAAAAGGTAGAATCACATTTGTAGGGAGAAACGAACTAGCACACTGCCTCGAAATCATATGACCAGTTGTATCATATGACCAAGTATATATTGCCAACAGGGAAAACAGCTTTCATCTACTTACAGAGGATGTCTCAGCTCATTAGCAGTTTTATGTTGGAATGAGATGAGATCCAAGACCTGCCAAAGCTGAAGAGGATAAGGAGGCTAATAAGGAGCAAAACCAACTGCTTATGCTTTCCCCTGCCCTCTTTCAAACGGACATCTTTGGAAAGGCTCTCTGGCTCA